CTCTTCATTTTCAGCCAAGGCGGAGCTGTGGGAAGCTTGAAGAGAGGTGTGGGAGCATTCTAAAGCACGCACCTTATCAGCAGAGATTCTGAGGTCTTCTTGTGCTTGAGTCAAATTTTGCACAAGCTCCCCAGCGTAAACTTCATTTTGGTTTAAAAGAGCCTTTAATTTTCTGATCTCTTCACTAGCTTTAGATAGCTGCTCTGAGAAGGAGGACTCGAGATGCTCTTTTTCTTTTTCTGCTTGGTGTGAAGAGGCTTTTGTAACCGCCAATTCTGAAGTTAAAGCTCGTACTCGCTGCTCTAAGGTATTCTTTCTCTCTTGTAAGTTCTCTATATCAAGCTGAGCACTCTCAAATTGCCCCTTCCAATTGGTTGCTTCCAATTGAGAGTCGCGTGCTATCTTCTCCAAAGGGGCAATTCTTTTCATCAATTCTGTGCCGATAAGATTGGCCTAAAAAAAAAAGAAATAAGAATCCCAAAGATGAAAAATTTTGCAAAGTAAAAGAAGGAAAATACCTTCAGAGTGGCATGCACGATATCATTCATTAAAGTCAGGGAACTGTGGCTCTCCAGCTTTACTTTTCTAATTGGGACAATAAGAGGCTCCAACCATACATCCGCCTAACTTGACTTTCTCAAAAGGCTGCTCTCAGCAGGAATTTCAATAATTACCCGCCTCATAGCAACACTTTTACTTGAAGAGCCCGTTTCAGTATGATGAACGATAGGAGGGGTAATAGTCAAAGGAGGAGTCGGAGAAGAGGTAAGAGCAATAGAAGAAGGAACGGAAATAGCCGGGGCTGGTAAAGAAGGAATCACAGGCACGGGTAATGAAAAAGACGATAAAGGTACTTCGTCTAAAATAGGCCTGACATCTTCACGACCAAATCCACTGACGAAAAGTTGGTCAATAGACTCACGAGTATCGTGGGGAGTGACGTCATTATCAGGAATTATTATTGGGGTTTCAACAGGTTCGGTAAGAGAAACCGAAACTTCAGCTTCGTCATCGGAAACGATGTGTCTCCTAACTCATGGCCTCGTTACCAAGGAACTCTCATTTTTCTCTTCTTCAGAATTTTCCTCTTCAGCAGCCTTCCTTTTCGCAGAAGAGGAACCCAAGACTATTTCTCGGGATCTCTCTAAAGAGATACGGATTCCCGAAGGAGTACGAGTTCCCAAAGAGACACGAGAGGCTGCAACTGCTTCAGCAGTAACCCCTCGAATAGCAAATCCTAACAAAAAAAAGGATAAAAGTTAAAATAATAAAGGAGAATATAGGCACGAAAAGAACAAAATGTGAACTCTTACCATGAGTCTTTACCTTCCAACCAAAATGGTTAGAAAGTGTTTTCCAAGATCTACCGTCCATTGGCGCGATCTTCAGCAATTTATCTACCCAACCACGGAAATTGGAAACATCCCTTACAACTCTCATGGTTGCTAAAAAAAGGGGGTAAAATTAGAAAAGCTGATAAACTTGAAAGAAGAAGGTACGAGAGGGATAAAAGACCTACGTGCAAAATTCCACTTCTCAGGGAAGGGAACATTATCTTCACCCACTAAACCAACAGTGGGGGCAGTAGAAAATCGGGCATACCAGCCACGATCCTTGTCATCTTCAGGGCTCACCAAAACCCTCTTACTCCTGGCTACTAGTGTAAAAACACCATTACAAAAAAGCCTAGGTGAGTAAAGATGAATCAAGTGAGGAAAAGTAAAAGGAGCTTCAGCTTTAGTGGCTAAATGCCTTAAACAGGCAATAACCCTCGATATGATTGGGCCAATTTGACCCAAGCAGACATTGAAGAAACAGCAAAATTCAAGAATGACTGGGTCGATTGTTGGTCTAAACCCTAAAGTAAAAGGGAAAGTGTAAATAAAAGAGAACCCAGTTAAATAGGAAGTAATTGTCTGATTCGGATTAGGGATAATAATGGGAAAATCATTACTCCAATAACAGTCCTTACGAACCACAAGAGTCAAAACCTCTGTAATTTGAGTGGGGTAAGCATCGACATGATCTAATGCAGAAACCTGGTTCTAAGAGATTCCCTGTCATGGTAAAAAGACAATTCTGAAGGGACTATCTCATCTACTAAAGGTTCAGAATGATTTTTACTCCTAGAAGAAGATTTGTGAGAAAGGTAACCTTTGGTTCTAGAGGAAAGACCAGAAGAAGGCATAGACGAACCACCTCGAGTAGATTCTAAACTACGAAGTCTACCTCCCCTTCTGTGCCTAACAGGGGCATTGGGGAAGGAGTCAGTAATGGAAACTCTCTCAGGGTTAGGGCTTGGAGAAGACATATCAAAGAAGAATGATTTAAGGAAGAAGTAATCAGAGATTTGGAGAAATAAGTGTTCAATAAGCTTTATGTGATAAAAGACAAGGAAAAAAAAATTATATTTATATCGATAAGCAACTGCCAAAGGTAAAAGTGCGGAGGTGGAAAGACCATAATTATGATAACTGGCACTTCATTAATAGTGGAACCGTAAAAACCTTGAAAAAGGCTGCAAAAACTGCAGAGTCAATGGAAATTGATACGTGTACGGAATATTAAATGGAAGTGACAATTGAATCGTCAATTTTGTCATAACATTAATGGTGACAAAAATTTTCGTTTTAATGAAATTCATTTCCCAAATATTCAATTGATGAATAAATGGAAAGTGGGGGGACTATCTGTATTAGGAAAAATTGCATTTATATATGTAAGTGACATGTTGAGACACGTGGACTGGTCAAATAGTCAAAGAATTATAATTAGTCAAGACGAGCAGCAATAGAAACGAGCAAAGGCAAAGGAAGAGGCACGGGATGACATTTGAAGGATTCAGCGCCCGTACCTATTTAAGTCATTTATCAAAAGGAATGGATCTGACCATAATAAAGAGCGCAGATACGAAATTTGACAGGCATTAAATACTGGATACGTTAGAGAATTTGTATTGATTACAATGATTGTGTAACGTAGCATTCAATGTCTTTAATTATTCATAATAGCCTCATTATGATTTGGAGAAAACGCATATCTTCAAGATACCTATAAAAGGGAGGCATCTGGTCACTTGTAAACACAAGACACAATTGGAATATACTTTGATTCACTTGTTTTTCTCCTGATTACACTCTGGTTACTCCAAATTACTTTCTTCTACATATTCTTTTGATTATCAGTAACCCGCGTTCTTCTAAATTCTAGTTTTGACTGAAATTCTATTTTTTGGTTAATTAGTCGGGTCCGACGCGAGTACCCCGTTCCAGTCTCAATCCAAAGAGTTCCCAACTTAGGTTTCGACCTCATACGTTCATACTCTTACTTCTTTTGACTTACCGGAAAGTCGGTGCATGCGCTAACCCTGAGTTCATCCATATATGTGAATTGTATGTAAAATTCTATTATAAAGCAGTGGAAGATGTTTATGTCTTTTCCTTGTAAATAGTTCCTATAGAAATAAGTACTAGCTAATTACCCCGGGATATACTTTACGTCCAATAATCAATGTTAACGTATCGAACAAAACCTTGCGAATTAACATGCTCGTAACTCGTAATGAATACACTGCCTAAATATTCTCTGAACTACGTATGTTGACATGTCTGACTTAAAACAAATGAGACGAAGTATGTAACGTTCAAAGAGCTTCCAAACATATTGGCATCTTGTGTCCTTTTCGTCTTTTTTGTTAAACTTCCTCGCATTTCTTTAGTGGAAGACAAAGTAAGGACCTGTCGAAAGGGACTATGCAATATATATTGATTTAACGTGTGCTACAGAATCATCCTGACCCTAAACAAACGGCATAGCTTTTAAATAAAATTACTTACACATTCAAGGTTTCAGCATCGATCTTTTTAGTCATTTTCCGAGAAGATAGAAGAAATTAAACTGTAGTTCATATATTTTGGAAAACTGAAGGCAATTTCTCTTCCATCGTCCACTTCTTTGGGAGATAACTAGGAACTGTTGGGTTTAAGCTTGTTAAAAAACTTAAAATAAAGAGTGAATGGGAAATTGAGGGGAAATAAAATATTTTGAATATCTCTCCTTGTTAAAGGGACATTGTCCCATATTGGAGGAAGAAAAGAGTTTTGATGGGTATATATATTGTTGGAAAATTAATTCAAAGTTGTAGTAGGAAACCTTAGTTATTTAGGATTTGGTTTATTTAGTTCATGTCTAAATATGATTTTGTGGTTAGAATAAATATAGGAATAGGCTTTTCTGTTTTTAGTTGAAATAAGTTTCATACTATTATAAATAGGTCTATTGATAGCTTATTTTATGTGTAGAAAATAAAGAATTATAGAGATCTATCAGAGATTAATTTCTATTTCTTCTACATTTCTGTTTATAAAATTATTAATTTAGTGGTAAAAGAATATCTACTTGTTTGTTCTCAATTAACTTTCCTAATGAAGTCAATTAACTTTGGTTGTTCTCCTTATATTATATGTCCTTTTGCTGGAATAATGAAGGACTAGACTTAACTAGAAAGTTAAGTCAGGTCAAGTAGAGTCAAGCGTGATGTCCAGCTATGTTGTAAGGAGCGACGACCCGCGTCCCACACGGTTCCTTCATTTAGCGTATGAGTCAGGTTCTACGTTTGTGAAATTACATTAATATCACGAAGAGACAATCTGATCTTACTGCAGAAATATTGCATTGACAAATTTGTTTCCCAACTATACTAAAAAAAAATAAAAAATCGCACGACATAGTAATTTTTAAGAAATTAATGATATATTCATGATATTGTTGTTCAACATCAATCAATAATGCATGTAGGCTGTAGCTCAAGTCTAAAAGCTCATAACTCCAACTTAAAAATAAAAACTCATGGCTCAACTTTGGAAAACCTATATATGGGGTCATATTTATAAAGTTTCATTTTTCAATTTCAGAAAACTTGGCTCATTCTGATACACAACTATTATCTCATGCTCAGTGCTCAATACTAATTCAATCTCCATATGGTTAGAAAATCATAATTTCACAAGTCAAAACAAACTGTCACATTTCGTCCTTGATGTCAAATGCTATTAAATATACAGTTGAAGGTTTTAAATTTACAAGAAATTGACATTGATAATGCCTACAAGAGGAAACAAACCTCTGCGAGCCTAAAACTGGAACAACTACATGAAACTAGAGAAGATCTTACAGACATTTCTGTCAGGTAACCAAACGAACAATACAACAGCAAGTAATGAATTGGAACAAATGCACAGCAACAATGCTATGCTACGGGCAGAGGAAGTTGTTGCTTGATTTTACATCTTCGTCATTTGAATCCGTTAGATGATCAAAGAAAGCATCAAGGTACCTAGGGCAATGATCATTCAGAGAACCTCTGCTAGCATTAGCCCGCCATTTTTGGTCTGCTATCATCTCAGGGGATAGCCCCCATTCTAGCATCTCTTCATCGCTATGATGGACTGCCAAGCTATATTCACCACCAGCCCCTAATTCCATAACTCGAAACTCACAATTCCCAAGATTGTTTAGGTACTCAAATTGCTCAACTGTCCATTTGAACCACTTCATTAGAAAGACTCGACTAGCTAGACCATGGGATATAATCACAAGATTCAACTCGTCGTTAGGGTCATGATGGTGCCTGTTCATATCAACATCCCTCCATAGAGATTCAAGGAAATCTGCATTAAAAAAGTTTTAACATGAAACTCAATATCAAACTAAAATTTCATAGATCTAAAACTTCACGCTACTAAATTGCAGCTGAATATGCAAACATCTTCCTTATTCAGAGCACTGAACCACCAGTTGCACTATAACAGATAACTTTTGTAGATACATGTAAGCATAGTAATAGTAATATTTACCTTGTACTATTGCGTATAAGTTAATTATTTAAAGCACATCACTTTATTATCCATTCAAGGCGGTAACACTCTGAAGACATAAGCAAGTCAATTACACTTTATGAAGACATAATGGAAGTTACAGTACTATTTTACACAGACTGAATAAAACATCTCTTCAATATAATCTTTTGAAAGGCATTAAAGACTCATAGCAGTTTGATATACTATTCTTATTTTAGCATGACCATAATTCATTAGCACAACAGTCTTTATCCCAGCCAACAGAGGAAGGACCAAAGCTTATTCAGCTTCATATCTACGAGGGCAGTATAAATCTTTTCTGCAACAGCATTTCTTTTAAAGCATAAATTCGTATTCTGGTTACCTTTAGCCATTTAATCAACGTTTTATTTGAAGATTGTTTCTTGGTTTCAATCAGAATAATAGTTGAGATCAATCAATAGAAGAATTGTAAGACACGGAGCTAAGTTGTTTTGAGACTCAAAGCTACAATTATATCCGGGAGATATATGAGAAATGAGAATGCAGTCCGGGAAATATAATTTTCAAGTAAACAATTAAAAAAATTGTAATGCCACCCGAAGGAAGAATCCTGCTGTAGCAAATTAACGTTTGGCCTTCGTTTAGCAAGATGAACAACATATTGGGCACAGGCTGCAGGGCTGGATTTTACTTGTACCTCTTTTTAGTATGATTTGCTATTATAATACTACAGGTCAAAAAGTCTGATGCTGTTAAACTAATTCAATGTGGACATCAGGAATGCAAGATCAATACCACCAACATATTTTAACACACAAATCTCAATAGCAGGACACACTGAAATCCGTCTTGCCTTTGAGTGGCGAAAAGCGATGGATCTCATAGCAGCCTAAACATCATGCTAACTATAAAACCTACATCATGACCTAATCTTGGTCTAAGCCAAACCTGAAACGTATTGGTTATAACAGAATGCCCTCAACTAAAAGAGGTTCTCCCCTAGAAATTGGTACATTCTAGGAGACTGTCTCTATTATTCTAAAACCAGCAACAACACCATCCCCCCCCCCCCCCCCATCCCAAACACAGTAAGAAAGCGTAGGCAAGATATGATGCCAGAAAGCTCTTGAATAGTCAAATGTATCCGAAAATCCTAGATAAAGATCACATTTCAGATGTAGACTTGATAAAATAACTTACTCACACAACCATAGGCTGATGTAGTAAGTCATTAGAAAGCTCAACAAATTATCACAACGCAGAGCTATTCGGACACCATATGAAATGAACCTCGTGGTAAAAATTCAACAAATGCAGCCCAGAAACCAAAACACAATTCAATCATCAACAACAACAACAACATACCCGGTGTAATCCCACAAGTGGTGTTTGGGGAAGGTAGTGTGTACGCAGACCTAACTCCTACCTTGTGCAAGTAGTACACAATTCAATCAAATAACAAAATACTTGCACTGCCACGAAATTAATTATCCTGCTCTTTCATTTTGAGCTAATCTAAAATAGTGTCCACTTAACTATCTTAATATTAGGCTCCTTGTATTTCATTTTATATGACTAGTTTGACTAGACATAGACTGAGAACGAAATACATATATTTTATGCATAAGCAAAATATATAGTACAATATAGCAAAAGTACTCTTATGAAACTTGTCATCTTCAACATACAATATCATTCATGCAAGAGCATGTCTTTCAAGGTAAAATGAAAATAATAAAAAATGAAGAGTTTCAAGTATAGAAAAAGATTCAATCTTTTAGAATGGATCAAAAAAGAGAAAGTGTCACATAGAAATGGAATGTAGGAAGTATATAAACATTAGACAAATTCGATATCTTGCTTTAACATTCTTGCTAGACAAAAATAGGAGAGAGGAAATTAAAGCATCATATAATCACAAATCACATAGAATTGCAAAATCAAAGAAAGACCATAAAAAATGCTTACGAGAAACTCGATCATAAACATCAGCAGCGGATTCACCCTCAGGAAACCGATAAAAGAATCTCCCAAACCTCTCACGTGTCTCCTTAATCACTTTCATACGCTCAGCCACTTGAAAATTCCCAAAATCCTGTTCTCTAACTCTGCACTCTTCTCTTACCCCAAGCACCCTATCCCTCGGAAATGCCCGGCCAATCTCCCGGAGCGTGGAGCGCGTGCGCACGTAAGGAGAAACATAGAAGTAAACCTTCCAGTTGTCCGATGATCCGTGGTCGGAGACAACATCAAGAATGCGGGAGCCAGCTTGGTTGGCTTGCTCAATCCCACGTGTAGTTAAAGGGATTTTGTAATCTGGGGTGACGCTGTATGCATTGTCGTCCTTGTTCCCTTGGCTCTCGCCGTGACGGACTAAGATTATGCGCTTTGGTAGGTGGTACTTAACATCGCTGCTTTCAGTTGTGCTGTTTATCATTATGCTTCTTCACTTGGTTTTTTGTTTGTTCAAGAAAAATTGTGGGTATTAGAAAGGAGTTTTCAGGATTTTGGAAATGGAATTGGTTGAGAATTTATAGAGACTTGAAAAAACAGTTTTTCGGTGGTTTTTTTTATTGCTGGAAGTGGGAACGTGCTGAATACTAGGAGATTTGAATTTTATTTAAGAAAAAGATATTTCTATTGCATTGGAGATTTAGGAAGAGGGGAAGTATAAAAAAAAAAAAAACTAATTATTGTGAGTTGACTATAAGTTTTGAAGATCTGTTTGACTTTTGAATCCGATCGTGTGATTTTTCTTTTCCACGCCAATACGTGTGACAAGAAAAAATTGATTTCCTCTTGCTATCAAAATGAAGAGTCCTCTTCGTTAAAACATTTCATCAAATATTTGTCAAAATTGGATTTAATAAAGCATAACAGTTTGCAGCTTAAAATATATGGTACAATGTGTATGATTCAATAAATTGACTAGATAAATTGAAATAAATGACTAAGCTAGCGTTTCGTCATAAATTTCCAAATTTGTTTTGAAAATTTTGATTTGGGTGAAGTTTGGTTTGAAAATGAAAATGTGTTTAGACATCGGTTTTCAAAACATATTTCACTTTTTTTTTTTAAAAAAAACAATGAAACATGACTTATACCCACAAGTTCTAAAAATAGCACAAATACCAAACAATACTTTCATCAATAACATTCATTATATCATCGCAAAACATAGTCCTGAACATAAATAAATTTGGTACAAAATTATCATTTTTATACTGAACTACATAATACACTATCAGATAATTGAGAAGATGAAGCATCATTGTTACAAAATAATAAAAGGTGAGCTCTTTTACAAAATACAAAAGTTTGGGACAATTTTTTAAAAATATAATAGTAATATTTTCGGCCAAAATCAGTTCTTATTTTGGGATTTGGGTTTTGAAAATTTGCCGAAATATGAAGTATTTGTTAAAAAAAAACAAATAAATTTTGACAAAATATACGCCAAACGGGTCCTAAATGTTTTTTTTGTCTTTCTTGAAATCCTAACCTAGCTTCAAAGTTGGCAGCCATTTGACATAATGAATTTTTGTGTGAGTGATCATGTGAAACTATACCAAAAGTAGAATATTTAGGGGCTTTTTCAAGAAAGAAAACAATTACTCCATTCAAATATCTAGATGTTTTGACCAAGTGATATGTGCCAGCGATTTGACACTTTGCAAAACCATGTCGGCCTAAGAAACTAGATGAGGACAATGATAAGATTGACGAGGTTAATGGAGGATTGGAATTGGCGACCATCATCTATACCACTATATTCGACTCAGTAGAGAGACAAGAAATTTTGTTAAGGAAGTTTAGGATTTAATATATGTGTATAAAAAATTATTTATCATAAATTGGATAACAATTAAATTTATATGCGAATTTAGGACAAGTGATATAACTTGGTACAAATTAAGAAGAATAAATTAATATTGATATTGACGATGAAAGAAATAATGCAAACCACACGAATTGAACAACCTTGGCCTTCGAGTTCAGTCACCCTTGAACCAAATTTTTTTCAACTTGCTTATGAATAGAATAAAAAGATAATGAAAGCTAGAAAATGACAATATATTGTTTAATATTGCGTGAATATGATGTCTTTTAGAAATGATCAAACCCCCACTTTATATAGTAGAGAAGTCCTACTCTAGATACAATTCTATATGAGGTAAAAAATCTCATGATTGGCTAATTAATCGGTATCTTCTTGATACGTGCCGGAATTCGCACTGTGATCCTCGCCTGATTGCGGATATTTTCATTATTTGGCTCGGTAAGCTTCCTTCGATCTCTATCTTGTTCGGTCTCAGTCTTGGTCGATCACAACCTTGATCGGTCTCAGGGCTACGAGCTCGGCAACCTAACTTTGCATCATGGTTCGATATAACTCGAGGATGAACCTCGGCCTATCATGTTCCGGTCTCGATTAGTCATAAAAAAGGGCAAAGCTGATTTTGACCGTATACATATAGTCCCCTCGTTTCTCAGAGAAAAGATGACGAGAAACGATATGAACTTTTCCAATCCCATCTCGATGTGTCATGATGTAAGCGACGAGCCCGACTATGATGTTAGCGACAAGTGGATACTGAAATGTCCCTGTCGGTTCGGTTACCGAGGCATTAAATGCATGTCAGTTTGTTGGTCAGCCACCACTGATTCTGTACCGTCACCAGCAAAGTATAAGTACCGCCACCTTCTTCCACTCAAACTTTACGCTCAAAATTTCCCTCATTGTTGCTTCTCTTCAAAAATCTTCTTTGCTTTGCACCTCTCGCTCCTAAATCTCTTGAATCTTAAGAAAATCGCATACCATCCTAATTCCCTTCTATTCTATTTTACAATGGCAAAAACTTCTAAAACCCGCAAAAGGAGGCCGCGTCTTCTTGACGGCCTGCCGGCGAGGGAGCTACGACGGAACTTCCCCTTGAGGATTTCATTCTAGGAGGGTGCCTTATTGTCGCCTATTTTAGGATTGAAAAAACCTCCTCAATACCTTCTCTTCTATATTGTTTATAGACTGGGTCTATAAACATGTTGTGGTACCTTCACCCGAGGAGTCGATCACTACCCATGTGGAGGGTTTCCTAAGTGTTTACACTTACCCTTTCACGTTGGGTCCCTTAAACCCTATCATTGTCGCCTTCTGCAAGAGGTATGACGTGACCCTCGGCCACATTCACCCTTCCTTATGGAGAATAGTGATTCTCCTCCGATTATTCGTGAGCAAACTCGAAGGATGTCCTTTCACCCTCGATCACCTTATGTGCCTTTATAGTCCCTGACTTTATCGAGAAGGGTTGATCAAGCTTGCTCGTCGGGCCATCAAGGCCCCGTTCTCGAGCATAGACGAAGCTTGCGACCGATGTTTGATGGGCCGATTTGTCCGAATAAGGACTTCGGACCTAACCCCTGCTGAAGACATACTGTTTCCTGAGAAATGGAACATGAACCGTGAGTAGTACTTTGCTTTTTTAATTTTGTTGTTTTACTTCTTACCTTTTTTCCTCATCTATATTTTTTGGTGTTGCAGATATGGCCTAGGCACCGGAGGTAATCCCCGATCTCGACCAATGGGTCGGAAGCCTAGTATTGCGGAGACCATACTCCCAGCGTGCTTGGATGGAATTATCAAAGGGTTATGGGAGGCCCGCAATCATGGTAAGCTTCTTTCTTAGAACGGTTATTATTCGGGATACTTCTCGAGCTTACTCGTCTTTTTTCTTTTGTAGGTCACATGAAGGATGTGGCTATTAGGCCTCCTTCCCAACCACATACTCCGAAGCAGGCCAAAGAGAAGAAGAGAAAAGGGGCTCCGAGTTGCCTGAACTCGGAAAAGCAAAAGTCAAAGAAAAGGCAAGCTCGTAAACACAATGGGAGCACCATCGCTCTATCTTTGGACTCCGTTCATCGGCTAAAGGATGAGTCCGAAGAAGAAGAAGAAGAAGAAGGATCCAATCTGGTAGCCCATGTGTAGGCTGGTGCTTCGATTCAAAAGCCCTCCGAACCGGAGGAGGTTGACGAGGGAGCTTCGGCCGAGGTTCCCGATCCAGAAGGAGTTGATGACACTCTATCCCAGGCTGAGATGGTCGAGAGAGAGACCGGGGGCGAGGCTTCCCGAGTGGCGGAAGATGTTCTGAGAGACGAGCTCGGTGTAACTGATATTTCCGAGTCCCCTTAGATTTCGGACGCCACGGTCCGTGAGGCCAATATGCTGGAAGGTCGTTCTTGCGAGGGTCCTCACGGGGCGGTCGATATTCACGGCTTCTTGGATGGGGTTGAGTTCGACACTTTGGAAGATGTCACTAGGATTGGTGAGTTATCGGTGCCAAAGAAAGCATCGTCCCTGGAAACTACTGGGTCTTCGTCGAGCCCAAAATTAGTGGACCGATTCCCGACCCCAAGTATTAACCTCGGCCAAAGGCGGAATATAGTTTTTCTGTACCGGAGGACGCCCGGGTATTCTCTCACCCCGTGGTGATTGTTACCTACTTCAGATGCTTGGTGATCAAGGAAGACCAAGCCGTGATGAATGCGGTGGGAGTCGTTTGCCTGTTCAACGAGGCCCAATATGCTCTGAATCAAGTAACTTCGAGGGATATTCCATTATCTCTTTTAAACTTGGAGTTGTAGGTAATTCTAACATCTTCTTTCTTGCGTGTAGGCTTCGGTATTGCATTACGAGGCTTTCCTTTGGATCTAAGAGGAGTGCGAGGCTGAGGTTCGGGACTTCACTGAGAGAAGTGACACCTACAAGCTTCTCACTGAGAAGCTTCAGGCAGATTTATTGACGGCTCGAGATAAGCATGCTGAGATGGCTAAACAGGTATTTTGAGTGCTTCACGATAATGAAGATGAATTGGAGATAATGACTAACGATCTGATTCTGCAGGTCCAACAGAGGCTCGAATAGATCGGGGATCTTTAGAAACAAATAGATGCAATTCGAGTCGAGGCTGAAGAGCTTAAGAAGAACATGGATATCTTAGCCTCGAAAAAGGAGGCTACCAAGCAGAGTTGGAGTCAGCCGAGTCCCAGCTCCGGGTTGCAAGAGAGAAAACCTTGGTGCAAGCCAATAAAATTGAGGAGATTCAGTCCCAGTTAGCTAACTTGGCCAATGAGCTCGAGGCGACCAAATCTGAGATGGTCATGGCCAACACCAAAGCCAATGTTACTGCGACCTAGTATAAGGCCAACGTTGGGGCCATCTAGACACGGGACAAAAGCATGGTGGATCATGCAAAGTGGCAAGCTCTAAGGGAAGCCCTCGAGGGAGTCCATATTCAGGTCTTTGATATACAGGATGAACTTGAGAAAGCCAAAGCAGAGGAAGCCAGGGCCCGAAAGTTGGCCTTTCCTGAGGAAGACTCATATAGCATAAGTGAGCCTGAAGGCGGGGAAGATCCCAAGGGAGAAGATGTTGCCTCTGATGAAGATCGGGCCACTTAGGTGTGGCGCCCCCTTTTTCCCTTCCCTTTTTAAAAGGGGAAGAGGTCCTTGTTTTGACATTCACGGGGTGTAATACTCATTTCCTTTTTGGAATTGGATATTGAAGAGTCGCCACCTAACGGATTATGGTGCGTTAGGGCACTTAGAGCGATTAACTCTTGGGTTGGTTTGCATTACCAGAGATTAGGGTAAGGGCTTGAAGTAACCTCGAGGGGAA